ATTTTTGATATTTTTCTTATATTTTTTGTACCAAATACTGCATGACTTCATAGACAACGTCTTCTGCAAGTCGCAACTGGTCTATCATCTCTTTTCTATACCAAATTTTGACATTTCTAATAGGAGCGAAGAAATTAGTGAATGTGATCATCACAATTGTTAAATGTTCAGCAGACATTAGAGGTGATATGTCAAAATGAGTCCACAGCATGTTATCCATATCCTCAACTTGTTTTTTTATCGGCATATTCGATAGAAATGTGTAATTTTTATGATGCCAGATAGAAATGTTAAAAGTTGATTTAAATATCGCATTGTCCCAAGATGGAAATAATTCTCCTGCTTTTATTACTTTAAAGCCGTTGTCAAATCTATTTTTATTTTAATGTATAATTAATGATAGTAGCGAAAGAAGAAACGAAATTTTAATTACGAAAAATTATATGGAATCTTACAAACAACATAATTTGTGCAAAATTTTTTATTAAATTTAAAACTAAATATTAAAACTAAATATTAAAACTAAAAATATTAAATATATATACAATTTACAAATAATAAAGAACGATAAGAGCCGTTGCTAGGTGTTCGTGCACAAATTCAAATTATATTATGAAAATTACAAAGTTACAGTCAAACGTTTCTGCTTATGTTAGGCCTTCTTCAGTGTCATTACGAAAAAATACATAATAAAACAGTGTCTTACTGGTCGAAATATTAAAAAATAATAAATCCTTCTTAGTAATTCTCTGAGTGGAATTCTCTGCGTACTTTATATTATTTATTTATTTTCTTAATGTTTCGACCAGCAAGACACTGTTTTATTATGTATTTTTTCGTAATGACACTGAAGAAGGCTTAACATAGGCAGAAACGTTTGACTGTAACTTTGTAATTTTCATAATATAATTTGAATTTGTGAACGAACACCTAGCAACGGCTCTTTTCACTCTTTATTTTAGATTATTTATTAATTTCTTGGAACCTTAATATTATTACTAAATTGTTTTATACAATTTGTCTTGCACAAAGTGAATCACCTCTCGTGTATTGGTAGAGCGAGTTAAATCAAGTAGAAAAGTTCCGTATCGTTTTGCGATGTTTGCAATAATTGATGAGGAATTAATTAAAAAATATGGAATATAATCGAATATAGTAGATAATTGTAACGTTTATTTCAGTGCACGTAGTTTAAATCGAAAAAGAAAAAACTTAAAAGAATCGTTAAATATGTTTATCAGCACAAAAGAAAATGTTTCGAAGAATATAAAACTGTATTTGTTGAATTTTAAAAATTTATTATATGTTTTAATGAGAAATATTTCACTTATGGTAACTCACCTCTATAGATTAAAATTGTGTTTATTTAAATTACAGTACTTTGTAACAATTAACAATTTGTAACAATAGTACAATTAACTTCGTCTTGGATTGCGAATGCAAGAGGTATGTAAATTGAATAACTATCTTACTGTTTCGAAAAATCACCGAACACTAAGAGGAATACTGGTAACTAACGTATTAAATACAATATGTGATGTAAATAGTCAGGAGCGCGCTAAAGGTATTCGCCGTTCGCGTGTGAATTCTACACGGCCGGCCTCCTTCAAAAATAATCCACATTAAATGTTGAAAATGTTAATTACTATATTCATTGTGTGTCAAATCAGAATCACCGAATAAAAACAAACATTAGACTTTTCACTATATATTTATCATATTAATTGATATCAAATTAATGAAGTTATATTGGCAGTTAACATAATAAATTTATTATATGATGTAAATAGTTTCTAAGAGGTCACACGGTAATATATACTACTAAACAATGGAGACATTGTTGACCGTTGATATCTAATCGGATAAAATTGTGCATAGAATATAGAAAGTAAATTTGTACGTTATTTTCAAGTATTGTTACTGAAATTGTGTAAAAATTGTACTTATTATATAAATAATTTTTAGAACTATTTAAACTATATCAAAATGCAAATTTAATATTTTTTGGACATAATCAATTTTTATTAAATCATAAATCTATTGATATAAATTTTTATATATTGCTACGAATAAAAGGAGAGAGTTACTCATCAACAAATAAATTATTAAGTTTTATTATAAAAGATTTTATAATACTAAAAATAATAAAATATTTAACATCATAATGCAATGATATGAAATTTAAAACATTGTAATTAAATTCAGTGTCATTTTTTGTAAATTTTGCAGTAGATAGTATAATTATTACGATTAATATTAAACCGTTAAAGATATTTCGGAATGCTATACTAATTTCCATTTGAAGCATCTACAAGAAGAATTTTGTGATTAGAAAAACACATACATTTGCAACACATTCCATTGAACTTCTATACATATAAGAAAAATAAAGATTATATATAACAGCTCTTATAGTTAATTATACTAAAGCGGTGTAGTATTTTTATGAAAAAAGCTAAAGGAGAGAGAGAATTATTTGTGATAGTAGCAAAAAACTAAACAAAATTTTAAATATGAGAGATAATATAGAATCTTACAAACTGCATAATTTGTTCAAAAATTCTTGTTTATTATAAAACTAAAAATATTATGTATATATAAAATTTACATAATACCGAAAATACGTATGTCAAACTAATTTTTATTTTTATAGAAGATTACGTTGTGTTATAATGTTACAAATAATTAAATAATTTTTTACTTCAACTATATGTATACTAGGTCTCAAAAAACACAATCCATCTTTCCAAAAAATTTTGCAAATGTCAAAATAATTAATTTTCAACGTGTGACTTTAATTTAATTAAAAAATTTTACATTGAAACGGACAAGATAGGTAATTGTTACGTTTATCTCAGCTTACGTAGTATAAATCAAAAAAGAAAAAAATTTGAAAGAATCGTTAAATTTGTTTAGCAGCACTGAAGAATATGTTTTGAAGAATGCAAAGCTGTGCTTTAGAAATTTTTTATATGTTTTTAATGAGAAACATTTCACCTGTGATAACTCACCTGTATAGATTAAAATTATATGTTTATTAAAATTATAGTACTTTGTAACAAATAACAATTTGTAACAACAGTACAGTTAACACCGTCTTGATTTGCGAATGCTAGAAGTATATTAATTTAATATAAATAAATTGCTATCGTACGAATAGCTCGATCGCTAGAAGTATAGCAATTAAATATAATTTAATTGCTAATTAAATATAATTTAATTGCTATCGTACTGTTTCGAGAAATCAACACTAAGAGGAATATTGGTAGCTAACATAATAAATACAGTATGTGATGTAAATAGTTCCTAAAAGGTTACACAGTAACAACCACTGCAAAACAGTAAAGAAGCGAATAAATTTTGATATGTAATATGATAAATTTATGCATAAAATATAGAAAGTAAATTTGTACGTTATTTACAACTATTGTTACAGGAATTGTGTGAAAACTGTACTTATTATATAAATAATTTTTAGAATTATTTAAACTATATCTAAATGCAAATTTAATATTTTTTCGGACGTAATCAATTTGTATTAAATTATAAATTTATTGATATCAATTTTTACACACTGATATAAATAAAAAAAGAGTTCCTCAAATGATCAATTATTAAGCTTTGTTATAAAAGATGTTATAAGTAATAAAATATTATAAAATTTTTATGTATAAATAAGAGTTAAATAAAGAAATAACAAACATATCAAAAATATACAGTACTAGAGATAATAAATAAATAAAATACTTATATTTATAAATATAAATATTAATTTATATATGTTAATTATTAGATAAATAAAATATTATAAATAATTGGGACAAACATGGAACGATTTAAAATTAGATAAAAATATTTAATACAACAATAAGAAGAAAATTACAAAATAATTAATATATAAATGCATGTGAACAACAAGTAAAATTATTTTCTTCTATCAATTCAAGTGCTTGGCTTTTTATATTGCATTATGTTTATATGTTTCACTTCAAAAGCCCAAAATTTCTGACACGTCTACGCTGTTCCATTTTTCGTTTCTCTATTTTTTGTTTGACAGCATCAACTATGAAACTTAGTTGCTTTTCGTTCATAAGTTTATTTTTAACGAAATCATGTACCTACAACAAATTATTTGATGATATAACAGATATTAATAAATACAAGTTTTTTTCATTAAAGATGAAGTAATCATAAATTGTTGCGCTAAGTTCATTTGAATCAGACATGTCACGTATGTGACATAAATTAAACATAAATTACCTGAATATAAAAAAGTCAAGTAATGAGAATGTTATATGCATTTAAAAAAATATACCTGTTTGAATTGTTTTGCATCATGCTGGTGCGTTATAATAACAATTAATGTTGCAATCTGCTTAACTGCTTCCCTACAAATTAAAGCAATATATTTAACAAATATAACAAATATTTATAGTCATTAAAATATAATAACAAATAAAGAAGTAATCACCCTTTCATCTTGAATTTCAAAAGGCCGAATATAAACTCGAGCACTGCATCTCTTTTTGCATGTTTTGCAACAATAAGGAGAAAAATAGCACTCGTTTCACTGTTTGATACTCTAATATCAAATTTATTTTTCGATATTAATTCCAAATAAATTTTAATAATATCAGTATTTGTAGAGCAAGTTAAATATTCTAAAATTGTATTATCGGATGTTGCATTCCATCTATTCCACACTTTGTGCCAAATATTGAAGTTTGCTGCCATTAAACCTTTACAGTATATCCATTCTTTCCGTTTCAAAAGTCTACATTATCAGAAAAAAAATATTGTATACAAAGATTTAAGTACAATATTTTATAATTTAATATTAAAATAATTTATTAAGTATAAAGCAATAACGCCACCAAATTTATTTACACAAATATCATGGTTACAAAACAACTTACTTGTCTTGAACAGAACTTTCAAGATGTTCTCCTAATTGAAAGATTGCTGTTTCTCTACATCTTGGAACATCGAGAATACATGCCCATTTTATCGCTTCTTCTCTTAAAATTTTAGTAAAATCATTTTCGAAATTTAATTTGTCCATGTATCCTATATTTAGCAGAAGTCTATCAAACCTTCTTGTAAGTTTCATCTAATTATTGTTAAATGATAAAAATATTAAATTTATTATTATTTTTGAAAATAATAAGATTTAAGTATATTTACACATATACATATACATATTTGTTTAACTTCTTTTATACACTGCTTTAATATTATATGTTATTTTTTTTTTAGAAGTTCATTTTTATTATATTGTATTATACCTTTACAGCTGTAGTATTTTTAATTGGCCACGTACACATCATGTACTCAACAGCTTTAATCATAGGATACCATGCTACATAGTCTGCGTCTTCAAACAGAAACTTTGTAATGTTCCAAAACAAAACGAAATTGAGTTGTCTTTGCGTCAAAAAATAAAACGCGTCATCGATGATTTGGGCTCGATTAAGGACATGAATATCGGCGTAATTTACAAAGTACAAATGATGTGCAAGTTTTTGCCAGTTATCCGAATTATAATTGACGCGATAGTACCCTATGATACAAAAATAATATTTTTATTGTAAGGAATGTCTTTATCAAATTTATGAAGAAATACTGACAGATATTGTTGTTTCTTTCTAAACATTTTCTTAAATAAATGATTTTTTAATAAAATATGTCAAAATATTAGTTAAAGGTATTTCTATTGCAAATAATTAATTGCAAAATTATTTTAAATTAGTAATAAATTAATTTCAAAGATGTAAGCTGCGGATCAACATTGGCCAAAACGTTAAGTATAATTGTGATTACTTATAATATATTAATATATTATTATCAATCTTACATAATATCTACAAATATCAGTGATCAAATATCGAATAATAGAACAGAAAAGTTACAGAAAATAAAGTTACTGTTTAATATTTACCAGCTTGTTGTAAATTGACTATTATCCAATCATTTTTGTTAGTCCAATACATATCGTAGAAATGTGATGTAAATTCTTTCGTATTAGGTATCTTAAAGTTCATGAGTGATTTTGTCGTATATGTCACACGTACTCGATATTCTTTCATGCCAGGAAGTAATGTACGATTGAAATTAATAAATGAGATCGATGCCAAGTTAATGGAAAAATCTTGTGTCAAATACAATACAGGATAATATTCTTCCGTTAACCAAGCATCGATTATATCTTTAATATTAAAGCTTATTGTGTTATTCGTTACATTTAGGGCACTTGCCATAGCGGTCCAAAATGGTACACTAGTAGATAAATTGTTAGTATCTGTCACGTTTGTCTGATTATATCTGAAAAATTAACATTGCAAAAAACTTTATTATAAATTACGAAATTACATTATTTATTATTGATGAGAATTCCACAATGTTGTTTTAAATTCTTTACATAAAAAGTAATTAAAAGTAGCGAATTAAACGGTTAATTTTTATATTTTTAAATAATAGGATTTCAAGCATGTTATCAGTTTTACGGTTTACAATTTACAATTAATATTTTCACGTCATTATTATCACTATTAAAAGATATAGATAGATATTACTCACTTTATGTTTACATACGTGTTGATACCGTTCCAAAACACATGATCAGACATTAGATGATATAACATGCGCCATACAATGGATGCTGTTACAATTCATATTATAAAGTACTTGTTAAGTAGTTTTTTTTTACTTTTAATATAGTATTAATTACTATTGACATAATAGAAACTATTATTTCAAAGTAGTAATTATATTTATTCTTAATATGCTTCTATATAATAAGTTTTATATATAAATAAGTTATATTTTAATCGATTTGTAGTTAAGTTTTCTTATATTTTGTTATGTACGAATTTAAGAATTTACGTATAATTATCAATATTTTAAAATTACATTTTCTTTGATTCTAAATAATATTTTAGTTATATTTACTTAAACTTACATTTGATATTATAACGGGATCTTTTAAATGGTAGAGAATTTGTAAAAAGAGTATCGAAACGTAGGGATTCCTGTTGGGTTTGAACGACAAATAAGTCCATCATGCGATAATATAAAAGAGTCTGTAAAGTGAGACATGATGAAAAATATATAGTCGAGAGTGTATTTGAATTTTGGCAAAATATATTTAACGCTATTGACAGTTGTTATTTGGTCATTTAATAAAATTATAAAGTTATAAAGTCTAAAAATGTAGTAGTATATTAATAGTAAAGATATAAGAAACCTGATCCAAAATATGCGCTGTAAGAAACGTAATAAATCCTTCATTGGACAACAGAAGCACATCATCGTACCACTTAGATATTGTTTCACGTGTTACTAAGTTCGCCACTTTTATTTTGCGGGCAATGTCATCTAAAGTATAATTATAAATAATATCTTCTTCCCTGAAATTGTTTTCACGTCTTTCAATATTATAAATATACCTAAAATTTTTAGTATAATTATGCAGTTCAATAAATTTGATGTTGTCGTTGTAGTAGATACAATTTATCACGCAGACACAAATAAACATTAATTAAATTTAGTTAAACTTAAATTTTGAGATAAATCAGTAATAAAGTTAAATCTGTTAATCTTTTGACAAAAAAAAAGAATGTTACATTTAAACAAACTTGTGCTTCTATATATTTTTACTAAACAATATAAATTATATTCTCTATAAAATAACATGGCAATAACTATTTTGCTTTTGATTTTACATATAATTTACGTATAATTTATTTAAAAAAAAAAAATGTTTTTAGCGTTTCTGCATCAGCATTACGTGCGAAATGTGTATTACATATAAAATAATAAGAATTTTGTTGATTTTCTTTCATTATTATTGGTGGAAACAAAAACTTTTGTAGCATATTTCTTACTTGTACGTAAAACGTAAATTGCAATTATCTTTAATGCTTTGAATAATGAAATCTGAAGTAAAATTTGTTTTAACGTAAAAATTATTATTTAAATATTTTGTTTAAAATAAAAATAAGAATAAAGATAAGAATTTTATCAGAAAGAGTGATGCAAGTGATATGTTTTAGTTATTTTTCAATAATTATACTAACATTAAAATATTTTTTTAAGTTTAGGATATTATAAATAAATATATTCATTTAATTTTAATTTTCGTATTTATTAATAAGTATTACCTTAATAGAATGAGTTCCAATGTCTTTACGTTACTGTATTCAAAATCCTTCGTTACAACGTAATCTATTTTTGATATTTTTCTTATATTTTTTTGTACCAAATACTGCATGACTTCATAGACAACGTCTTCTGCAAGTCGCAACTGGTCTATCATCTCTTTTCTATACCAAATTTTGACATTTCTAATAGGAGCGAAGAAATTAGTGAATGTGATCATCACAATTGTTAAATGTTCAGCAGACATTAGAGGTGATATGTCAAAATGAGTCCACAGCATGTTATCCATATCCTCAACTTGTTTTTTTATCGGCATATTCGATAGAAATGTGTAATTTTTATGATGCCAGATAGAAATGTTAAAAGTTGATTTAAATATCGCATTGTCCCAAGATGGAAATAATTCTCCTGCTTTTATTACTTTAAAGCCGTTGTCAAATCTATTTTTATTTTAATGTATAATTAATATAAAATTAATATAAAATTTTAATCATAATTGGACTGAAAATTGATTATATTAACTTACATTTTGTCTTTTTCTTTGATCTGGAAAAGATCGAGAGTGTCTCCGACATCTAATATGTTACTGACATAAATCATTTTTAAGATATACGTACCAGGAGATAATAAATCGTCTGATGACTGGGTAAAATCAAAATAAATGTACGTTTTATTGATAAATGAAATTTTCTGGATGTTGATTGTTTGATTATCATTGTTGTTAATCAAGTCAATTTTTGCTATACCAAAAATCTTTGAACTCAACATAGTTATATTTTTCGTTGGACGATTAATCTGGATAATAATATTGCATTTCGCAGAAAAGACATTGCTGAATACGTCAAATTTTATTTTTACATTATAATGTAAAGGTTTTAAATAAGTGTAATTCATTTCAGTCTCATTTTTCGTCAATTTTACAGTAGATAGTATAATTATTAGTATTAATATTAGTCCAACATTTAATAAGATATGTTGAAATGCCATACTAATTTTCATTCAAAATCTCTGAAAGAAGAATTTTTTGATTAAAAGTAAACACATGCATTTGCAACACATTCTATTTAACTTCTATATACGAGAAATGAAGATTATATAACAACTGTTGCAGTTTATCGTACTAGAGTGGTGTAGGATTTTCATAAAAAAAGGCAAAAAGGGAAAAAGAATGAATTCTGATAGTAGCGAAAGAAGAAACGAAATTTTAATTACGAAAAATTATATGGAATCTTACAAACAACATAATTTGTGCAAAATTTTTTATTAAATTTAAAACTAAATATTAAAACTAAATATTAAAACTAAAAATATTAAATATATATACAATTTACAAATAATAAAGAGCGATAAGAGCCGTTGCTAGGTGTTCGTGCACAAATTCAAATTATATTATGAAAGTTACAAAGTTACAGTCAAACGTTTCTGCTTATGTTAGGCCTTCTTCAGTGTCATTACGAAAAAATACATAATAAAACAGTGTCTTACTGGTCGAAATATTAAAAAAATAATAAATCCTTTTTAGTAATTCTCTGAGTGGAATTCTCTGCGTACTTTATATTATTTATTTATTTTCTTAATGTTTCGACCAGCAAGACACTGTTTTATTATGTATTTTTTCGTAATGACACTGAAAAAGGCTTAACATAGGCAGAAACGTTTGACTGTAACTTTGTAATTTTTATAATATAATTTGAATTTGTGAACGAACACCTAACAACGGCTCTTTTCGCTCTTTATTTTAGATTATTTATTAATTTCTTGGAGCCTTAATATTATTACTAAATTGTTTTATACAATTTGTCTTGCACAAAGTGAATCACCTCTCGTGTATTGGTAGAGCGAGTTAAATCAAGTAGAAAAGTTCGGTATCGTTTTGCGATTTTTGCAATAATTGATGAGGAATTAATTAAAAATATGGAATATAATCGAATATAGTAGATAATTGTAACGTTTATCTCAGTGCACGTAGTATAAATCGAAAAAAAAAACTTAAAAGAATCGTTAAATATGTTTATCGGCACAAAAGAAAATGTTTCGAAGAATATAAAACTGTATTTGTTGAATTTTAAAAATTTATTATATGTTTTAATGAGAAATACTTCACTTATGGTAACTCACCTCTATAGATTAAAATTGTGTTTATTCAAATTACAGTACTTTGTAACAATTAACAATTTGTAACAATAGTACAATTAATTTCGTCTTGGATTGCGAATGCAAGAGGTATGTAAATTGAATAACTATCTTACTGTTTCGAAAAATCCCCGAACACTAAGAGGAATACTGGCAGCTAACGTATTAAATACAGTATGTGATGTAAATAGTCAGGAGCGCGTTAAAGGAATTCGCCGCCCGAGTGCAAATTTTACAGCCGCTCTCCTTCAAAAATAATTTACATTAAATGTTGAAAATGAAATTACTATATTCATTGTGTGTCAAATCAGAATCACCGAATAAAAACAAACATTAGATTTTTCACTATATATTTATCATATTAATCGATATCAAATTAATGAAGTTATATTGGCAGTTAATATAATAATTCATTATGTGATGTAAATAGTTTCTAAGAGGTCACACGGGTAATATATACTACTAAACAATGGAGACATTGTTGACCGTTGATATCTAATTAGATAAAAATTGTGCATAGAATATAGAAAGAAATTTGTACGTTATTTTCAAGTATTGTTACTGAAATTGTGTAAAAATTGTACTTATTATATAAATAATTTTTTAGAATTATTTAAACTATATCAAAATGCAAATTTAATATTTTTTCTGACGTAATCAATTTGTATTAAATTATAAATTTATTGATATCAATTTTTACACATTGATATAAATAAAAAGAGAGTTTCTCAAATGATCAATTATTAAGCTTTGTTATAAAAAATGTTGTTAGTAATAAAATGTTATAAAATTTTTATGTATAAATAAGAGATAAATGAAGAAATAACAAACATATCAAAAATATACAGTACTAGAAATAATAAATAAATAGAACACTTATATTTATATAAATATTAATTAATGTTAAATATTAGATAAATAAAATATTATAAATAATTGGGACAAACATGAAACGATTTAAAATTAAAAGAAATATTTAATACAACAATAAAAAAAAATTAACAAAATAATTAATATATGAATGCATGTGAATAAATGAAATTATTTTCTTCTATCGATTCAAGTGCTTGGCTTTTTATACTGCATTATGTTTATATGTTTCAATTGAGAACCCCGTAATTTGTAACACGTTTATTGTATTCCATTTTTCGTTTTTCTATTTTTTGTTTGACAGCATCAACTATGAAACCTAGTTGCTTTTCGTTCATAAGTTTATTTTTAACGAAATAATGTACCTACAACAGATTATTTGATGATATAATAGATATTAATAAATATAAGTTTTCTCTCACTAAAGATAAAAAAATTATAAATTGTTGCGTTAAGTATATTTGAATCAGACATGTCACGTATGTGACATAAATTAAACATAAATAACCTCAATATAAAAAAGTCAAGTAATGAGAATGTTATATGCATTTAAAAAAATATACCTTTCTGAGTTGTTCTACATCATGCTGGTGCGTTATAATAACAATCAAAGTGGCAATCTGCATAACTTGCCTACAAATTAAAGCAATATATTTAGCAAATATAACAAATATTTATAGATATTAAAATATATTAACAAATAAAAAAGTAGTCACTCTTTCATATTGTATTTGAAAAAGTCGAATATAAACGCGAGCACTGCATCTCTTTTTGCATGTTTCGCAACAATAAGGAGATAAATAGCATTCTTTTCACTGTTTGATACTTTAATATCAAATGCTTGTTCTCTTATTAATCCCAAATAATTTTGAATAATTTCAGTATCTGTAGAGCAAGTTAAATATTCTAAAATTGTATTATCGGATGTTGCATTCCATACATTCCACACTTTGCGCCAAGTAGTGAAGTTTGCTGCCATTAAACCTTTACAGTATATCCATTCTTTCCATTTCAAAAGTCTACATTATCAAAAAAAAATATTGTATACAAAGATTTAAGTACAATATCTTATAATTTAATATTAAAATAGTTCATTATGTATAAAGCAATAATGCCACCAAATTTATTAACACAAATATTGTGGTTGCAAAATAACTTACTCTTGAAAAGAACTTTCAAGATATTTTTCTAATTTAAAGGTTGCTGTTTCTATACATCTTCGAACATCGAGAACACATGCCCATTTCATCGCTTCTACTCTTAAAAATTTAGTAAAATCGCTTTCGATATTAAATTTGTCATTGTATCCTATATTTAGCAGAAGTCTATCAAACCTATCTGTAAGTTCTATCTAAAATTTGTTAAATAATAAAAATATTAAATTTATTATTATTTTTGAAAATAATAAAATTTAAGTATATTTGCACATAACATATATATTTGTTTAACTTCTTTTATACACTGCTTTAATATTATATATTATTTTTTTTTAAGAAGTTTATTTTTATTATATTGTATTATACCGTTATAGCTGTAATATTTTGAACTGGCCATATACACATCATGTATTCAACAGCTTTAATCATAGGATACCACGCTACATAGTCTTCATCTTCAAACAGAAACTTTGTAATGTTCCAAAACAAAAGGAAATTGAGTTGTCCTTGCGTCAAAAAATAAAACGCGTCATCAATGATTTGGGCTCGATTGAG